ACAATGAGATCCTATCTCAAGAAAAAAGATTAACCAGGTTTTTAGTCTCTTTTCTACAATATAACTCTCAATATACCTGACCCATAGAGGAAAAAATTCCTAGTTAATAATCATTTACCTGACTGGTTTTATGCTTACAAGAATAAGCATAAGACAAGACCTATGCCCAGAAGCACTTGAAAATTGCTACAAAGACAAGATCAGTATATAACACTCAACCTCATAACAGCTAAAGGTTCAGAAAGAAAAGCCCTCAGTAAGCTAAAGTAACCAGTGAAAGGTTAAAGGAAAAAAAAAAAATCTGAAGGATGAGCTGGACTGTGAAAGGATTAGGGTTTATTTAAAGAGAAACATGGGAGATGGTTCAGATTTGGTGAGAATGCTCAGGGTAACTGTCAGGAAGGCAATGTATCTGACAGGAAGAAACTGAGGTACGAAGAAATATAGATGGACTGAGGCTACAAATAGCAACTGGAATCCAGGACTCTGAACAACAAACTCCATTATGCCACTCTGTTCCTCGTGACAACACTTCCGTCCTCCATTCTGGCACCCCTTTCCAGGAAATTCTCCACAGCTCTAAATCTCTTTCTGAAACACATTATCTAATCAGGTACTCTCTAGTTTTAATCTCTTCAACAATCTAAGACTTTCAGAAAAAAAAAATTATAGTCCAAAGAACTACCGTGACCCAAGCCTATCTCTTTTTTTTGACAGATCCACTAATCTATAACTTCTTTTGTTCCAAGCCACTCTTATCTACTTGAATGTTCTGTATTGTCACCTTTCCATATCTACCTTTGTATGTGTTGCTGTTTTGATCTAGAATGCCTTTCACTCCTTCTTCAAAGCCCTATTCTTCAATCCTTGCTGTAAATGTCATCTACTGTAAGCTTTTCCTTACCTCATCCAAGAATCCAATTTAATTTAAATGCCTCTCTGTGACATTTTTATAGCACTCCCCTATAAATATTCCTATAATTTTTCACATTACTCTTTATTCAATAATTAACTTCTTTCTCTGCCTCACTGGACTATGAACTTTTTTTTTTTTGAGCCAGGGTCTCACTATATAGCCCAGGATATCTCAAACTTGAGATGCTTCTGCCTCAGCTTCTACAATGCTGGGATTACTGGTATGTACCACTACTCCAGCCTTGACTATAAGCATCTTCACATCACCAACCAGTAGAAGAGTCACAGTAAGTATGCAGTAAATATATTGTACAGATGAAAGCACTGGGCTCCAAATTTATTATTTAAGATCAAAACATAATCCATCTAATAAATAAATAACCGAATAGTTAAATAATAACCAGAATATTAGTGTTATTTTAAGTTTTACATAAACACAAAAGCAAGGGGCTGGAGAGGTGGCTCAGTGGTTAAGAGCACTGGCTGCTCTTCTCGAGGACCCAGATTTGATTCCCAGCTCCGACATGATGGCTAACAACCATTCATAACTCCAATTCCAGCAGAATCTGACACTCTCTTCTGACTTCCCTGGGCATTGCATGACATGAGTGCACTTACATATATGCAGGCAATACATTCATACACATAAAATAAAAAATAATTAAAAGATTAAAAAATTTATACACTCTGTATCCACTATCTTGAAAATGATATTAGGATTAATAGCTCTACTGTAACAATGGCTTCTCTTACAGAGTTCAATTTGAGGGGCAGTGGGGAATCATTCTTCAGAGGCCACCTTAGCTTTTCTATTCTTTTCTTTTTCTTTCTTTCTTTCTTTCTTTCTTTCTTTCTTTCTTTCTTTCTTTCTTTTTTTTTTTTTTTAGAGAGCGTCTCTCACTGATTAAGCTATGGTGGCCAGCTTGTCAGCCCCAGAGATCTGCCTGTCTCCACCTACCTATAACACTGGGATTACAAGTATGCACCACCACACTGGGCTTTTGAGTAGAGTGCTAGGCATCAAACTCAGATCCACATGCTTGCATGCAAGCACCTTGGCAACTGAACTATCCCCCTATCCCCCCGCACTTCACATTTAAATCATTGCTTTAAATATGTGAAATATAAGACATAGCTTCTTCCTAACACATCTCCAGGTCAATCTCTTTCCTAGTGAACTGAACAAAATACAATTCATGGTTGACATCAAATTACTAATTAATCCAAGAGTCATGCTGTTTGGTGGCACACTATAAACTGGGATTAACCAGAAAGTTATATAAAATCCAAAACTCTACTACTAACACATTATTCAAAATGTGGTGAGTCCAGAAAAAAAAAAAAAGCCTCCTTAAATACAAGGCCGGGTGTGGTGACACACACCTTCAACTCCAGCACTTGGGAGGCAGATGGATCTCTGTGAGTTCAAGGAAAGCCTGGACTACATAGCAAGTTCCTGTTCAGCTGGGGCTACAGAAAGACCCTGTCTCAAAAAAGACTAGATAGATAGATGACAGATGATAGATGATAGATGATAGATAGATAGATAGATAGATAGATAGATAGAGATAGATGATATAGATAGATGATAGATAGATAGATGATAGATGATAGATATAGATAGATAGATAGATGATTGATAGATAGATAGATAGATATATAGATAGATAGATAGACAGACAGATAGATAAATAGATAAATGACTCATTATGAGGATCCACATCTGGAAAAAAAAAGTAATTTTTCCTGTTTACTTAGGTAATCTTAGAACATTACAGTGGGAGACCCTGTCTCAAAAAACAACAACAGGGCTGGAGAGATAGCTCAGTGATTAAGAACACTGACTGTTCTTGCAGAAGACTGGGGTTCGAATTCCAGCACCTATATGGCAGCTAACAAGTGCCCATAACTCCAGTTCTAGGGGATCCCACAGACTCTTCTGTCCTCCTAAGGCACTGTACAACATAGATGCACTTACCTACATGCAGGCATAACACTCATACACATAAAATAAAAATAATAAAATATTTAAAAATTTAAAAATTAAAAAAAAATAACGACAAAAATCACAGATAAACACTTTCCTAAAAAAGTTTACCAAGTCTGATTGGTCAAACTATTTGCCTTAAAATGTGCCATAATATGTTCTTGTTTTTATTAGCTATGATACATCTTCTTATAAAACTTTGTAAGACTCAAGCATAATGCTTGAGAAAAAAATTCATGATGGTATTAAACTCAGGTTCGAATACTTGCTCTCCTGTATCAAGCTAAGTTCAACATGGAACAGTGATGTTAGCTAGGAACTGAAAGCGCTATTATCTCATAACTATCTAGTTACATTGTCAAAGCAAGTAAAACATAAAAGATGAAACAGGCAAAAGGCCAAAGGGAAAGGAAGAATATAACCAAGGTATTACTAGTAGAGATAACCTTTTCCTTGTGCATCCTTAAAAGTGGACCAGTATTGCTAGATGTATAAAACTCCTTATGGGAACTATTTGTTAAATTTTATTTTTGACTGAACTTTTCAGTACTGATTAAGCACTTTGTACTGGGACCCAAAAGAAAAAACTAAGGAAGTAAGATCACTCTTTTACCACAAACTGATAAATTTCAAAATCACATCATCAAAACTTTAAATACAGTCAACTCTGGTAACACACTCACATTTTTCTCAGTTTCATGGTGGTGCAGGCATTCATTAAACCTGTGGTAGCTTAGACAAGTCACAAAATAATCTGTGCCTCCATTTATTTCTAAAAATGCTGGGGTTACAGGATACATCAAGCAAGCGATTTCTAGATGTGTCTAAGACTGTATGGAATTGAGATTTTTAAATTGCAACCTCAACGTATCCTAAATCCTTCCCACATAATGAAAGTCTACACATTGCCTAATGTTTGACCCCTGTTTTTCCATATGAACAGTCCATAATAGGAAAGCAACTAGAAGCCAAAAGAGAAGTGCAAGTCCAGATCAAATGGCCAGATGCCATAGTTTTGGCTATGTGTCACAAGTCTCATCCTGTCTTCTAGTCTAACCAACTTGGGGATTACAATTGAATTGTAGACATGCAACATGTGGCTTGTGCTTGGGACCTGGACTAAGAATCTTCCATTCAAAAGGTACGTGGACAGCTGAAAAGTTTTATTTGCTGAATCGGTGTAGGAAACCGCTTTCTCCTGGTGCTACTGAAATGAGAAAGTTTTCAAAAACAGGAACTCTTTTAACTGATGAAGTGAAGAAACACCAGTATTTCCCAATGCAATACAAGGCCTCATAGACTTCTTTCCTCTCCATTCAGTGGCAGGAAATGAACTGCTCCTAGACTGGTTCACACTGTAAGGACTGAGGGAGTTGTACAATCTGCCTTTGCAGCGTTCTGAATAACTGTGTCGGTGTTGAAGCACTCACTAAGTGACTCTGCTTAACACACACACACACACACACACAACACACACACACACACACACACACCCCACACACAGGACAGTCCGTGATATCTCACCAGCCAATTCCCATGCTCACCCCAGGCTTCCAAAGAAATGTTTCTTGGGAGAGCACATGGAGAGAGGCAGGGGTACAAACGCACGTAGGCGCCTCTTCCTCAGAATTCTCAGAAAGTAGAAAGATTGGGAGCCTCTGTTGTGCTTGTCTTGATTTACATGGCTACTAGTGGGTTATGTTTTCGGATGGGAAGGGAGGAGGTTCCCCTGCCCAGGACCCCAAGTGTTAAGAGGCCAAACTGACAAGAGGTGGGAGGGAAATGGAATGCTGCAAAGGTTCGCGCCCACAAGTTAGACAAACAACAGCCCTACCCAGTACTCTAGGACGCGAGGTGTCCCCAAGTTGGGGTGGGGCCTTTGTCGTCGGCAGGCTGACAGGAGAGAGGGGTTAAGTGGAGAGGGGGTGCTCTTCCGCCCCCACTCCGTGTCTGCTTCTCTGCACCGCCGCTTCTCGAGCGGCTCCCCGAGTTGCACGGCGAGGTCGTGGGAAGGGGGCCCCGGATCCGCCGCGCGTCCCGCGGCCGGACGATCGGACTTTTCCCGTCCCGAGGCCGGCGGGGCTGCGGGAGCACTCACCAATTTGGGTTTGTTTTTCGTTTCCTCTTCATTGGCCGCCCGGCTCCCAGCGCTCCGCTTGTTGCTCCGGCCCCCGCCGGGTTCCTCGCTGCCGCCTCCCGCTCCGGACGCCGCCACCCCGGGCTGCTCCATCTTTCTCTGGCCCTGTCACCTGCGACCTGGACACCCTACCCCCGCCTTCTGAAAGGCAGAAGCCCCTCGGAGCGCACCCGATGGCCCGCGACCTGGGCAGAGAGGGGCTGCCAGCCAATCGCCGCTCCCAGACCGCGGGCTCCCAGCTCCCCAGCACCCCGGACGCAACCACGCGGGTGCCACCACACGGCGCTGGGGCAAGCCCTGCCCCTAGGCAGCTGCAATCACCGGTCGCCACCGCCCTCAGGGCGGTGTTTCGGGTGGAGGAAAAGTATGTGCCTATCTCTTTAAGACGGCCTCAACACACGTGATTCATCAAAGTGCCCGCAGTCGGCCGGGGCGGCGCGGAAAGCCTCTTCCTATTCGCGGTGCTGAGCCTCCCTGGCTACTGAGCATGCCCGGAGCGGCGACTGGAGCCTTACAGAGGTCTCCCAGCAGTGCTTAAGCACTGATTTCACTTCCTAGTAGTCTAACTCCACGTGGAAGAGAACTCGTGCGGAAGGAAGAAGGAAAGCCCATTTTAGAGATAGGGAAACTGAGCACTTGGGAGGATTCACTACATTTTACTGACAAGGCGACTTCAGTGTCATACTTCACTAGTGTGAGTGTGGGCCAAGACACTTACCCTTGACAGAGGATATACTCTTGCTACATTCTGTGGGATGTTTAATTAGCAAGGCAACTGACAACCTATAGGAAAACCGCAGGGAGTATGGTTAATTGCCTGGACAGAGTGTATGGGTCAAAGTGGAAAGAGTGGGTGCTTCTGTTGCCATCATTGCCTTGTGACCAAATACTGTCATTATTTTCTTACCAGGCTGTTGGTGGTTGAAGCAGCCAGTAAGGGTAGTACTGGGCTCTTTAAGCAAAGCACCGATTTACACTTTACTATTGGACTGAGCCCTGTCTTCAATTTCCCAAGCTAGTTTAGGTTTAGAGTTATTGTGAGGATCATACATGTGAAAGCTTTGTTTAAAAGATAAACTAAACAGCTACTGGGGGGGGGGGGTTGCAAAGCAGCAGCTAGCAGAGTGCATCTTCCTCAGTAACAGGCTTATGGACATGTTTATGGACTTGGTATTTATGCTTACATTACAAGTAGCTTCCCTAGCCAGGCTGATAGGTGATAGGGTGCACACCTCTAATCCCAGCGGTGGCTGGGGGCGGGGTGGGCAGAGGCAGGTGGATCTCGATCTCTGTGTTCCAAAAAAACCCAAGTCGCTTCCCGAGCACATGGCCGGTAATTCAGTGTTGGTTTGGTGGTTCATTCAAACCCTGCCTTTCTATGTGACTATTTAAAAAATGGTGAACTAACACAGTGTGGACTTCCTCTTGAAAAAGAAATACTAGGAACAGAGCAAGGGCCAAAAACTTCAGGCTCAGTCCTTTCACCCTTCTCAGACTCCTTTTGCCCTTCTCCAATTCTACTCGAGGTTAGTTAGCTGAATGGGATTTGTATTACAACATATATATTCCGAATTCATTGGGATGAACTTGACCACCATATAGATGTGACAATGCAACTAACTTGAACAGTACAGCCAAAGAACTTCAGACGTCTCCAAACAGCTCTAAACCAGCTTTGTCTTTTTCATTTTCTTTCTAATCATGCAGGCAGGATTTCTGTGTTCCCAAAGTAGCAAACTACCCAAGAACAGCAGCGAAGAAGAGGAATATGCTCTTGGAAACAATAGAAAAGGAGCCCTAGGATATTTGATTGACTGAAATTCCCTCTTTGACTTCAAATTTGATGCATATTTCAACTTGACTCACTACACACATACATAGAAATTGAATTTATCTGAATGTCACCCCTCCTGAAATATCAAGTAGAAATTGGTGCTACAGGAAGATAATGACTGGTACACCTACAACTTTCACATAATTCCTGTAGGAGAAATGTGGGCATAGGTGAAAGTTGAGGGGCCACCAAGTTCAGACATTGCTCAGTAATCTGCTCAGTAGACATTTTTCATGCTACATGATATAAAAAATGCTATGCGTTGGACAGACAAAGGTGGACTAATTTCTGAGAATCTTAGGCCACTAGAAGCAAACAGGCTACTAAAGAATTGCATTATGGTACAAAAGAATGTGAACAGGGAACCCACGAACTACATGTATCAGAAGCTCAAAGACACCTTCCCAAAGAAGATGAGGTTTGAGCTAACTTGTTAAGATTCTTGTCAGTGTTATTAAGAATTAGCCACCAATTACTGAAGATGTGGTATACTGTCATAGAGCTCTCACACTATTATATTAGGAAGGAAATTTAGCAAAAACCGATTGAGCAGTTGCTGTACAACCAAGGGAAGAGCATTCCAGGTAGGCAAAGAAATAGATGATAGCACATGCAAAGAATCTGTAGTTTAAAAAAAATGATGGTGGGGAGGGGGGACATGCAAAAGAAGAAGCAGAACAGATAAAAAGGGTTCTAAAACAAAAAGTGGAGGCTAGGTGACAGGAAAGGCATAATATGAATGATTCGTTCAACATGGATATATACTCTAGAAAATGAATTGATACATTTTGAATATAATGTTGGTTTTCACCATCCTCAGACCAAACTGGGCTTCATTTGCATGGATTTTTTAGATGCCTGTAAAATATCTGCAAATGTCTCTGCAAACAGTGAAATAGTCTATCTGTAATGTGACCTATAACTCTTGCTGTTTGTTTTTCAGCATTTTACTGCAGTTAGTGTGAACAATAATTAAAATGCAAATACCGTTTTTCACAAATGGGGTCAATGGCCTCTCTTGGAAGCTAACACACACAAAAGGAACCACTGGCCTCGGGCAAGGATACTGGTCCCCTGAATATGAACAAAGCTGATCTCATTTCACCTACATTCTTTTGTTTTTTGCCTTCCACTTTTTGAAAAAATGACAGTGGAACTTACAAGTAGCAGCCTTGGTGGTCTGTAACCTTTTTATGTTTTCTGCACCTTCTCTTGCAACACCTCCCCGCTCCCCACCATGGGTTTTTTTAACTAGAGTCTTTGCATGTGCAACCATCTATGCTTTTGTCTGCCAGAAATAGATTTGTACATGGAAAGATGTCTTTTCTTTGATGGTTGAACAAAAAAAGGAAGCTATGCCCATCAGCTGGAGTATCAAGCGTATACTTTAGACCCACTGTTGCCTCAGTTTCTCCCTCCGATATCTCATGAGCATAGCATTGAATCACAAGGCAGCTCAGGGGGAAAAGAAAGATATCTTTCTTCAGATTGACCTTAACGACATTCGTTACCCTCATCTAAACAATTTGGATCATTCATAGAGAGATTAAATGAAACACAGATTAGACAAAAAAGAGAAATAACCAACTCCGAGGTCACGGCAAAATATTTATAAACTAAAGGATGACTGAGGGTAAACAAGTACTTGTTAAGCATATACTGTGTGACTAACATGAGGCTAGATGTCATGCAGATTACAAAATGGGGGACGGGTGCCAGACATTCTGCTAAAATGTCATGTTGTGTATGTCTTCTTCCTTGAGAATCTCTCATTTTACAAAACTGCATACATCAGATAACAGGGATTTTGGAAAATAGAGTTAAATGCACAGCAAGTTTGGAATCAGAGCACTAACAAAAGCAATAGCAATCCTAATTTTTAAAAAAAAAAACTGCCAGTTGAATCTCCACTGGCATTTGCACTCAGCCTCAGTCTTCAACGTTTTATCATCTTCATGTTGTCTTCTTCCTATGGCCTGTCTCCACCAGCAATGGGAGTTTTTGTAGACTCCATTATCAGAATTCCAAATCTATTGAAGAATAATCCACTAGTCTTAAACACATAGTGAAGGGTCTTCACAACTTCACTGTGAATGCTCATAGGTTTGCCACATACTTTCACATAGTTGAAAACCTGAAGACTGACATCACCTCACCAGTCACTAGTTATGCTTTGGATAGCATTCTGTGCAGAATTCTTCTCTATAAAGTTTTCAGGTCACAAAGATTCTTTACATATGCAGAAATTGGCTTCTGATTACATGGAAGCTTTTTGTTAAGAAAGTTTATAAAAGAATTAATTGGACTTTCAGAATATTTTGACATCATTCTCCAAGTTACTAATTTAGCAATTAAAGTACTATCTATGGTACACAAACACTTGTAATGGAATCAACTCTGAAATATTAAAATCTCTGTCATCCCTGAGCCTAAAATCTATCTGAGAAAAAAAAACAATAGAACAAAGGGTTAAGTGCAGTGTAGTCGTCCACACCTGCAAGGACAGCACTTTGTAGGTGAAGGCAAGATGATTAAGGCTAGCTTCTGAGACTTGGACAATTGGAGATCAGGCTTGACTAGAGGAGACACTGTTTGAAAAATAAAAAATAAAAAGGGCCAGAGATTCCTGTAATCCTAGCACTCTGGAGGGAGAGACAGTCTGTGAGAACAAGGCCGGTCAGGTCTATATAGTGAGTTCCAGGGTAGCTAGGGCTAGGAGGAGACCCATGCCTTTAGTCCCAGCACTTGGGAGGCAGAGGCAGGCACATGTCTGTGAGTTCAAGGCCAGCCTGGTCTACATAGTGAGTTCCAGGACAGCTGGGGCTACAAGGAGACCCTGTCTCAAAAAAACTAAAACAGAATGAAAGAGAGAAAAAAGAAAGAAGAAAGAAAGAAAGAAAGAAAGAAAGAAAGAAAGAAAGAAAGAAAGAAAGAAAGGGAGTAAGTTGGGGATGAGAAAGAGAAACAAAACTGGAGAGGAGTGGGGAGAGGAGGGGAAGGGAGGCAAGGGGAGGCGAAGAATAAAGTGTGAAACTGGGAAAATTAATTACCTAACTTGGAGCCGCTAACTCTAAATTCAGCATATTATAGTGAAAGATTGAGACACATTAGGCCAAGAAGCGTATTGCTTATGCTCTTGAAAGATGAATCAGAAGTCAGACTTGAATAGGCAAAGCACGCAGAGGAAGTAAGGAAAAGGCAACATTGGGAATGGCCTGGAAACAATGCTGAACAATAATGTCCAATGGTTAGTGAGGCTTGACCGGAATAATGAGAACGTAGATGTTGAATAATACTAGGAAACATGGTTATATACATGACCTCTTCCCAGTTTGCCAACAGATGTGAATGGAAGCCACTGTGGTGTTATCTGATCAAGACCTTTGGCTGAGAAGTTATAAAACCAGAAGTGTTTTAGGAGCTGTTTTGACAAGGGTACTTGGAATAACTTTGAACACTGATTTTCAAACTTATTTTTGTGTTAGT